CTTACATTCATTAATATTTACCCAGTCAGTTTGGGCTTTCTGATTTTATGAATTTCATACAGTCCAAAAGTGGGTCATAGGTTACATTCATTTTAAATTTTGATGGATGCCTTCTAAAGATTTGACCAAATAAACTCCAACCTGCATGGTCTGGGAGTGTCTTTTCCCCCATAATCTCAGAAACAATGTAATCGGTGCCCTCTCCCCTTTTATTTTGGCAGTCTGGAAGGTGAAATTTATGCTTTAAAACATTACTTTGAGACCTTTAAAGTTATAATTTATTTAACCATTGCTGATTTGGTATACTTTGATGCCATTTACATTCACTGTTTTTACGAATTACCTATCTATAATCCTTTTCCTATTTTCTCTTTCGCACTTTTGTCTTGACTTGCTTAATTCATGGGAATACTTTATATTTTCTAGTTATTAACCATCTGTGTGTCAAATATTCTATAATTTTTCCCAGTCATTTGCTTTCAATTTTTCTGTAACATGATATTTTATATGCAGAAATTTTTTAATTTGGGGGAAAATCTGATCCATTAAGCATTTTCCCTTATAGCTTCTGAGATTCTTAGGGTGCTTAAAAAGGCTTTCCTATCCCAAGGTTATAAAAATATTTTTCATTCTCTATTCATAATTTTATACTTTTATATTTGTATCTTCAGAGTACTTGGAATTTATTTCCATTTATTGCATAAAATAGAGATGTACCCTTATTTTTTTTTCAAACAGCCAATCATTTATCCCAATCATCTTTACCCACTGATTTGAAATGCCAGCTTCTTCATTTTTAAAATTCTCACACTTGGCTACATCGGTTTCCAGACTTTCAGGTTCTTTTCACTGATGTGACCATGGGTCAGAGAGGACTTTGTCAGGGTATGAGGCAAGATGCAAGGTAGGGTCTGAACTGGCCTCAGAATGTGTCAGGAGGGGCACTTGGAGTGGGGAAGAAGGAGAGGCTTCGTCCTCTAAGCCATGGACTTAGTCAGATCAGTCTGGTAAAGTCCTGGGCAAAAAGGAGCAAAAGTACAAGGGACTCCTGTTCCGCAGGAGAAATAGAAAGCTCTTGCATGTCTTGAGTCTCCTGTAGTCTGGCTGTGCGTTCCTCTCCAGCCTAGTCTCCAGCAGCCCTGCTTGGTTTTCTGCATCATTTCTTAGCTCCAGTAGTGCAGTGTGTCTCTCTCATCTGTCTCTGTCTCTCTTCCTGCCTGTCTCTCTCTCTTTCTGTCTCTTTCTCTCTACACATATATATATATATGTATATGATATATATGTATATATGTATACATATATACGTATATGTGTGTGTGTGTGTATATATATATATATATAGAGAGAGAGAGAGAGAGAGAGAGGTGGGTGTGTGGGTGTGTTCTTTCCCTCCACCATCCCCCGCTGGCCTTACAAGTCCTATCTTTTAAGCCCATTCCTCTTCCTTCCTGTAACTCCCACCCCCAGCCTGGCTTGGTGCTGCCCTCTTCTAGGAAGCCCTTCCCCTGTTCTACCCCTCCCACATGCCATTGAACTTGGCACACGGTACTGGAGCTGTCTGTTGGAGTCTGTTTCCCTGTTGGAACTGCATGATTTTTGTAGTCAGGAATCGTATGTTACTCATCTTTGTATTCTCATCATCTAGCATGGAGCCTGGTACACAGACAATTTGTTCAGTGATATCTATTGGCTGAATGAGTGAGCAAGATAAAAAAGATCATTGCCCTTCTAAAAATGTCAGCTTTGTTGTGTAGCATAGCACACGCACTGCAGTATAGTTCAAAAACAACAGCTGTTAGCTTTTCTCTTTGCAAAGGAGATTGTCACCACCACACTTGCATTCACATGTGGGAGATCACACATGACTGACATGACAAGTTTCTGGGGGAAGACTGTGATCTCCAGTTTTGCAATAATGCATGTCAGTATTTTAGTCTAAAACCTCAGGCATGTGTATCATCTTCCAGGACAGCACTGGAGAGAGGGAATGGGGCTGGGGATTTAGCTCAGTGGCACCATGCCTGCCTTGCAAGTGCAACATCCTGAGTTCGATCCCCAGTACCAAAAAAAAAAGAAAGAAAGAAAGAAAGGGAATGGAGGAAGGGAAGTCCAAAGGGGGCTACAGTCTGAGCTAGGCACGGAATAAACAAGGGAGGTAGCATGAAATGTGAGGGAAATACTTTACACACGCTTTAGTATTACATCCAGAAAGTAATGGTGAAACATCTCTTTCATTGTCTGCAAAATCATTGTGTGTAGAACTGACTTGGCATCAGCTGCTAACACTTTGGATTTTTATTTGTACTAGAGTGATGCAGCTTCATGAAGGTTCAATGCCTACCTTTGACATTCCCACTCAATTACAGTTTAAACTTCTCAGGAACAGCACTATGTATACCTGCCTCCTGTGTTTAGCACTGAAGATTTCCTGTGACAGTCATCGTGGGTGTTTGTGTATCTTTCACTTTCTGACTGGCAGCCAAAGTCAGGACCCCTCCAGAATGAGTCTCGTGGCATGGTATTTATAGACGGAGGTGAATGTGCTCAAGATGTTCCCAACTGGGCAGGTAACGTGGAGATTCTGTTTCAGCCTAGCCCTGATGGGCGAAGACCCCAACCAGAATTTGTAACTCTCCCTAACTTTCAGAGTTTTATGTGGTGGTAGAACAGCAGAAATCTGTTTTTCACTAATCGAAGGGGAAGCTGAGGTAGAGAGGAAGTTTGGAAACTTTCGTTCTTGGGAATGAATGTATCAGCCTTGAGAGAGAGAAATAAACTTTGAGATCAGAAGGTCAGAACCTTAGTTCTTCTGATACAGTCCTTGGATGGGCGTGTGTATGTATGTTGGTGTCCTGGTGTTTGGTTTGCAATATCTTGGAATTGCTTTGTGGTCTCATCATAGAATGTTTAATCCAAGTCACATATTTGTTTTATCTTATTTCACATGAGCAGAATCCTAAGTGGCATTAATATTACCTTAATCCATAAAATAAATGATTTTTTAAAGAAGAATCTAGTAAAAGGGAAGTTTTTATTTCCTCATCCTAGATCGGAAACAGGAAATTACTCCCAGAGGACTGTGACTTCAGTCATTTAATAAAGGTGTTATATATAACGCAGCCATTTTATGATCATAATATATGTATCCATATTTGTCATGGCTTATAGTTAAGCCGTAGAATCTAATACCTTCTGTATTAAATAAGCTTTCCATCAGCCAGGGTATTTTTCTCCCTATGTCTGCTATAGTCTACTGTATAAAACATGCAGCTTATAAGAAAATAAATTGATAATGCAGTTTCCTTGACCTCTAATCATTGTATACTTATATAAGACTGCAGCTGAAGAAATTCCTCTTGGGAATCAAAGTGGTGGAAGGCTTACCTGTGTCCCACCCAGATAAAAGAGACTATCACAGGCCAGGTGCTAGATTTATCTCTTTATACACATTCGTAAGAAACTGAAGTCACTAAACTTTCTAACTAGTTTTTTCTACTCTTGGGGAAAAATACACTGGCTGAACTGATAGAAAAGCGTCACTCGGGGACACAAGGAATTGGTCTTCACAGATTTTCTTCGAGAACCCAAAGTAATATGACAACATTTACAGAGAAGCCTCCTGCCAGATTCACCACAGCCAGTAAATGTGGGGAAGCGTAGGCCTCAAGCAGGTACTTGTTGCTCAGCTGGCCTCCTTAAGATGTTCTCTGATGCAGAAAGCACTGGAATAAAACAGGCCTTCTGTTGCCTCATTCCACAGTACACTGTGACCCTGCCCACTTCTGTACTTCGGAAATGCTTTTCTTTTAAAGCATGCCTATTTGGGGAAGCATCAGGCTTTTCATTAGAAGTAAAAGCCACTGTCATAAGAGGAAGAGACAAGTAAAATATAATGCAATAATAATTTTTTTAAACTATGTTTTAAATTGTCCCAGGTCTTGGGAGAGGCTTCTCTGGTTGTCTCAGGAAATTAGAGCAGTTTTATCAAGAAATTTCTTCCTGCTCTGGAGAACTCTCAAGAGACCTGGCCTGGAGTATCTTTGTGCATTGGGGCAGTCTAGGGAGGTGGGAGGATTTTAGAAAGGCTTGGAGCCAAGACCCTAAAACCAAACCTAGCACTGGGTTCCACAGAGGTCTTACAAGCAACAGATAGACAAGCTATGAAGTAATCTAGAGTCTCACTGGATTCAGAACCTCAGAAGAATTACATTTATCCAAGTGCATTCTCCTTCATGTCAGTCTGACTTTTATCTCAATGGGCCTAATTTATTTGCAAGACTAAAACAAATTGATATTAATTCATAGCCAGCCTCTTACTCTTCACATTGTTGGGTTGCAACTTTAGACAATTCATTGTAGTCTCAAAATTAATGACATAAATTATGTTTTAATTAACCAGAGTTCATAAAGGAATAACACTAATCTCAAATATAAGACAGCAGGTAAACAGTGATAATTTGTTTACTCCAGATACTATGTTGAATCTAAAATACTTTATATTCTTATATAGGCAGGCTAGCAGGTCAGATTCTGCAATCAAGGAGTTCTTTCCTAAGAGCAGTATTTTTCAGATTATTTCTCCGTTTTCTGCTAGGATGTAAAGTTGCACAATATAGTTTAGTGGTTAAGAATACAGCTTTGTGACTGGGAATTTAGCTCAGTGGTAGAGCATTTGCCTAGTATAGATGAGGCCCTGGGTTCAGTTCTCAGCACTGCAGACATGAAAACAAATACAGCTTCTTGAGTACTGGTTCATGTTCAGGTTTTACTATTTCCAAACAGGTGACCTTGGAAAGGTTGCTTAACTGTGCCTCAGTTTTCTTCATCCTATAACATGGAGCAAGTATCAATACTACCTCACAGAGTTGTTGTGGAGATTAATTAATAACTGGCACATAATAAGCACTTGAAGTTAATGTTCATCATTCTTGTTAGATCTTCCTAGAAATGTGTAAGTCTGTAGTAATGGGGACATTCTTATTTGAATTTTCTTCTGACAGGAAAATGGCAGATGCTCGATGGCGGTCTCTTGAACATCACCAAGGTGTCCTTCTCAGACCGAGGTAAATACACATGTGTGGCCTCTAACATCTACGGCGCTGTGAACAACACAGTGACCCTGAGAGTCATCTTTACCTCTGGAGACATGGGCGTCTACTACATGGTTGTCTGCCTCGTGGCCTTCACCATTGTCATGGTCCTCAACATCACCCGCTTGTGTATGATGAGCAGCCACCTGAAGAAGACTGAGAAAGCCATCAATGAGTTCTTTAGGACAGAAGGGGCAGAGAAGCTGCAGAAGGCCTTTGAGATTGCCAAGAGGATCCCCATCATCACCTCAGCCAAAACTTTAGAGCTTGCCAAAGTCACCCAGTTCAAAACCATGGAATTTGCCCGCTACATTGAAGAGCTTGCCAGAAGTGTTCCTCTGCCTCCCCTCATCATGAACTGCAGGACCATCATGGAGGAAATCATGGAAGTCGTTGGACTGGAGGAGCAGGGCCAGAATTTTGTAAGGCACACCCCAGAAGGCCAGGAGGCTGCAGACAGGGACGAGGTGTACACAATCCCCAACTCTCTGAAGCGAAGTGACTCTCCCACCGCTGACTCGGACGCCTCATCACTGCACGAACAGCCTCAGCAAATGGCCATTAAGGTGTCTGTTCACCCCCAGTCCAAAAAAGACCACATGGATGACCAAGAGGGTGTACAGTTTGAAGTCAAAGATGAAGAGGAGACAGAACCATCAGCTGGACATTCCCCAGAAACTGCAGAGCCTTCTACAGACATAACATCCACGGAGCTAACCTCTGAGGAGCCCTCACCTGTGGAGGTATCAGATCGAGGACTGCCACCAACTCACGTGGAAATGACAGAGCCAGCAGTGACATGTGACAAAAACACCTGCATTATTTATGAAAGCCATGTCTAATACTCACTCCGAAAAGCTATGCATATCAAGAAAACCAGGGGCTGCTCCTTGTAATACAGATGTAGTACGCACTTGCCGCTAAGCCTTACCAGGAGTCTCATCCCTTAGGAGTGATGCCGCATTAAAGGAGAGACACCTGCGTGCAGTGGAGTGACTGGCCTCTCCCCAGGAGAAAAGGATACAGGAAACATCGGGGTGCAGAAGTGATACTGGACAGAAGGTGTCTGTCCTTGTGACATGAATTGTAGAGGCCATTTTCTGCCAAATCCCTTAATTGATGATGCCCTTTTGGCAAAGAGTACACTACTGTAAGATATTCAAGAGCCCTGTCTGATGCATACTGCATTGCTTTTCCTTTTAAAAAATATAGTCTGCTACAATAGCAAATGCACGTATATGGGTTTGTTGCACTTTCTTCTTAGTTATAATTACTTTCACTGTTCCTTTATAATGGAGTAATTATTATATTAACACTAATTTACTCCTTCAGGTTGAGTCCTCTTTGCCACTTTTATCCTTATTTTTCCCTAGAATGTTTACCTCAGAGGCTTTGGTATCAGTCACCAGTTCCAGGGCTGATAGCTACAAGTCATTTGTAATGCTCCAAAGTAGTCACTATGCTCATTTTTTTCTTCATTTCCCAGGCCTGTTTTCATACACTGCTTTTTTTTTTTTTTTAAATTTCCAGTGAAGCTGCTGTCTTGAAAGTGAGAAAAACTTTGCCCTGGAATAGCACTTTAATAGTCAAATAAAAATGTGTTTATCTGTCCAATTCTGAGAGCCTTTCAGTGAGCTCAACCGAAGCGTAGGGAGAGATTGTAAAAAGCTAAATGTACCACACTATTCATGAAAACTGCTGTTTACATTTAAGTAACATTGTCCTCTCAACAAAGACTGATTCTTTACCTGGAAAATGTATTGTTTCCAAAGACAGGCATTTGATGATTCCTACAGGTTGTAGAATATTGGCTTCCCACAAGCACTTACAGGAGCCATCTGCTGCCAGTCAACCGCATACTTGCTATAAGGCAGCACATAGAAGGATCTGTAAAATGCATAACCATGTCCAGTTTTGTAACCCACATAGCTGACTTGTTAGCTTTTGAAATAGAGTAAAAGGTTAGGGTAATGGCATAGAGAACTGTGCCATCAAGTTTTATGCCAAAATTACTGAATTACAGTGGACCCTTGGCTTACAAACTCGATCAGTTCCAGAGGGCTGGTTGTAAGTCAAGTTGGTTGTAAGTCAATACAGTTGAGATCTGGATGTTTACCTGGGTACATGCTGTAGATAACAAGAGGCAAAGGAATCTTCCATTAACCTAATTAACCAAGTTGTTCATATGTCAGGCTGCTCATAACTTGAGGGTTCACTGAATTTAGTCCCACAAAAGTTGCAGTACAGGCAAGGCAGCATGATGTTATGGGAAGAAGGCAAAACTAAAACCAGTCATCCAGAGGTTTAATATGCACCTATCTGTGCCAGTCAGCAGTTGCCTGGCTTTGGGCAAGTCTAGGCCTCAGTTCCTATCTGTAAGAGGGGCTGACTGATGAGTGCTGAGCACCAGCTCTTTCTCAGAGAACCAAGCCTGTATTAATATCTTTGCTCTTTTCAAAAATCACTTTACAGATTCTTGCTTTCATCTATTGGTTTCCCAAATATTCATATGCTGCATTACTTACTCAAGGGACAGTTTTGAAAAATCATAGCATTTTAAACAAAATGTGGAACTTCTTCTCTTTCCAAAAAATGATTAGGATGATCTCTACAATTGGGAGTTAATCTTGGTGAGAATGAGTGGTGATGTTTCATTTTCACTTACAAGCAAGGGAGACAGTGACCTTAAAGTAGTTAGCAGAGTTGTGACCACATCAAATGTGGTAAGCCTGATTGAGTTGTCATGTCAGAACTTACACAGCCCACATTGGTAATGAGAGAGTGGACCCAGATGTTCACTCCCCCTCTTGTCTCCATCTGGGAAAGTGACCTTGCACAACTGGGGCTTAATCTCTTTCATCTATTAAAATATGCAAGCAGTGCTTAGTGGTCCATAAGAGCCATTCAGGCTCAGACGTTTCTGTTTTATGGAAAGTTTGCAGTCTGTGAGAGCCCCTGTTGCACAAGACAAGCAAAATTGGGAGCAAAACAAAATGTGTATGTGATGCTGGATGCTTTTGTGATCCAAACTTTACCGCAAAGATATCTGGCTCTGTCACTGAGGGGAGTGGGACTGGCTTTAGAAGTGACCTTGATGGACTTATATTTGACAAATCTGACGTTGGACTTTGATCACACATCCTTTTAAAAGGAATGAACTGTTGGTATCCAGTTAGAAGTATCTAGGAGGGGCACCGTAAGCAGCCACAAGAAAAACATAACTTCTGCTTGGGCTCTCTGGACTAGGGTTTTATGTATGTAGGCTGCAAAAAGTTCTATTTCCAACTCTTAGAATATAAAAAATTTCCAGTCATTGTAGAGGTTAACAAATTCATACCTTTGCATTGTTTGTGCAGAGTAACAACAGGGACTTACAAAGCTTGTTTTGTGATATGATATGAACTTTTCTCCATTCTATTCAGTTCTCATCCCACCCAAGCCCATGTGCAGATTTTCACATGGAGACTACAGAAGGCATCCATTCCATGTAGATACTGACCAGGGATAATATTGACTGGGCAGATTTTATATAAAGCAAGAGCTAAAATATGCAACCAAAGAATGTTTCCAGGCTGGCTTTACTTCTTTAGACAGAGATTGTATAGATTTTTTAAACTCTCCCTCTTTAAGGCATCAAAATGGTCTTAATATTACAATAGCCAGTCTATAAAAGGAACTTGGCTTGTACTGGGAATTTTTCCTTCTAGAAATTCTTCCTATCCATCCTGCAGCTTCTTTATAAAATGAGAGAGCCCCTTCTTCTAGAATGTGAAATGTAGAAGACCTCATGATTTTCAGCCAATTTTTCAAAAATAAAATGAACTGTTCAGCCTCTTAAAAATTCATAGGACCGTGGCTCTGTGTGTGTGAGCATGAATTTGTGAACATTGGACTCAATTTGGGCAGTTTTTAAAATTTGACACTGAATCCCAAGCCATGTCCTTTGTGTCTTATGTAGTCATTCTTAAAATTAAATAATTTCTGCTTCCTGAGTCATCCTGGTCATATTGCTAGCATTTTTTTTCTTGAAATTATTAAAATGATTCACACGTGTGCATATTTAATTCACTACATTATTATAATCTTGGATGGTATTTATTCTAAATATGGGATTAAACAGAATTTTATATGGAAAATCTATGTAATTTATAATGGTTTTGTTTTATAAATTATATTTTCATATCTTTGGAACACATCTGCTATTCTCATCTTTTTCTACATCATACTGGATAAAAAATACTAATACTTGACTAAAATCTTTAGGAACAAAATGTAATATATGTGATGTATGACATATAAAAACTGCTCTAAAATTACCTGAATGTTCTCAGCCATCCTAAGCATTACTTTGCCATGTCATTACATCCAGAATACCTTGGACGCTTATGAGCATTTCTGTTTCCACAATTAAGGCTAAAAGGCCTGACATCCCACACAATGTATTCAAGAATCCATTTCCCTTCTTTATCTTTTTTTGTTTCATTTTTAATTGTACAAGTCTATGCTGTCTAAACTTCCTTTTGAAGGGCAATGTAAAATAACGAGCAACTTGATGAAAAGAGAGAAGTAATTTAACTGTGGCTATGTAAATCATTTTAACAGACTGATAACATGTTTTAAATGTGCTTGGGTTGTTATTCACTGTTGATCTAGGATCTGCTCAGCTCTAACATATGAAGAAAATGTAAGGCACACAGAATATTTGTATGTTTTTGAAGAAACACACTCTGCACAGTGTGGCCAATGTAGATCAGCTTGACTATGTAAACACCAGTCCTAGCCACTAAAGAAGTATTTTAGAAAGGCTAATCAGTTTCCTTTCATCATGCCGTTTGAGTACATGTTGTATCAGTGCTAGAACTCTTAAACAGGAGTAACTGGTTCTGTTAACTAGGAATTTCCTTCAAGTGTTTTCCTTTGGTAAGAAATGAAGCATTAACTTATGTTTCACATACTTCATTTTCCACACAATTCAACTATTTTCCTTTACTTATCTTCCCACAGTCTTTGTGCAGTTTTCTAAAGTAATTCCTGTTTCCATTCTTTAAGCTAATTTACTGGTATTCTTTAATTATCTACCAAACCTCGGTTGTATTCACACATACATTTTTAGTACCTATAATCTTCAAGATATTGATCAATTTTACATTCATTAAAATACCCTTCAAGTAGATAACAAAGTTCATTTTCCTAATGACTTTTGTATAGTTTCTTCAGTGGTTAACAGGTTTGGATTAAACAAGTCAATTGTGGAGAAAATAATCAAATAGATCAGAATTGCTTATTCTATTTTCCAAAGGACTGTGTGTTTTTATCTGTTATACAGGGAAATATTATGTAAGGATAATGCTCTTTATGAGATTTTTTTTAAGAGATGGAATTTATAAAGGGGTTATTACTAAGAATACTACAATCAAAATCAAAGCTAGAGAATGTAAAAATAGAAAGTAATTCTAAGAATATTCTGCATAAATTATTTTTATTTAACCAATAATAAAAATCTCCAGATGTATCTTTCTGACATCATAGACCCGCTAACAGTGAGTTAGGATCAAAGATGTATGTACTTATGTTTGGCCTGCTGTATTTCAGTAGTTCTGAATGTCCTTTGTTAAATTGCAAAAGATGAAAATGTATCTGGACTGAAATGTCAATCTGCTGATTTTGTGAACTATAAAATGTTCACTTTCTAAAAATAAAGATGTAAACGAATGACTAATATATAAGTTGATATTACTGTAGCAAAACAAAACATGTGATCCATCCTGTATTTTGACTGTTGCTTTAATAAAGGGTTTGCACAAGTATGTGGAATGTGTGTCACGTCCCACCCAGAGAGCATGGAATTGTGACCTGATTTACTCTTTTCAGTTACATGAAATTTACAGTCAATTCTTACCTCTCCACTTTGCATCTGAACATGTTTTAGGAAAAGAGAAAAAAATAATTTTTATATAAAACCAGAAAACTGCAACCTAATTCTAAAGCCCTAATTCTAGCCTGATAACTTTTAGAGCAATTTATGTTTACTTTTATCTATATTGAGGAATAATTTTTAGCATGGACATGGTGGCACATGTCTGTAACCCAGCACTTGGGAGGCTAAGACAGGCAGATCATGGGATGGAGCGTAGCTTGGACTACATATCAAGACCCTCTCTCAGAAAAAGAGAAAGAAAGAAAAAGAATTTTTAGCATATGACATCAAGCTTTTATAGAAAATCCAAAAGGACCAAGGAATTCACATGTGCAGAACATTCCATTGGGAGATGGTGTCAGGCACAAAGCACCTAAACAGCATCCAGGCCAACTCCAAGAACATGCTAAGTAGGTTCTCTGACATTCAGTAAGCTGCAAAAGCTCAACTTTTAGATGCTATTAGTTGTCCAGTCTGTAACAAAGGAAACTGAAAATGGAAAAGTAACAAAAAGGACAAAGTCGATGTTTTACTGCAGGGTAGGCTAGACAGGCAAATAAAATAGCTGAGTGAGTTACCAATAAGCTACGCATATAGCATCCACAGGCATTTTTTACTTGAACATCTCTCAAAAAAGGGTTTAAGAATATTGTGCTAGCATTAGTGGACAAATTAACAGTTTTGTCATCACCAAAGAGGAAATAAAGTTTTGTCCTTACTGAGAAATTTTGGTTGATGAATATTTTCAAGACCCAGAACAAACAGCTGCTTATTCATTCATTTATTTTTGCAGGCTTAAGAATGCCATGTTCTGCATGGACTGATCAAAGAGGGTAGGTAGGGCTTCGTATTAATTAGACTCTCAAAGAAACGTATAATCAGAGTTGGAAGTGCAGGGTTATTTGATTTATACTATTTCCTACAGTGTGCCTGACAAGTAGTTGTTAGCTGTGTTTGAAAAATCTCACATAAATTGGGAGTTTATCACTTCATGTACTAGAATATTCTGTAGATGCTAAGTTTTAAATGCTGGGTCAAAAATCTTACACACTGGTCTGCACTGGTTTTTGGTGAGCTGAAAGCATGGGTTAGTCCTGCCACAAGAAGATTATAAGAGTGGCTGCTCCTGATATCACTACACTATGTGTCAAGTGGCAAACGTGACAAGTGAATGGTTGCTGACAAACATGTTGTGTTAGTCTGTTTTTCATTACTATGTTGAGCTACCAGAGGCAGGCTAACATTATAAAGAAGAGAAGTATTTTTAGCTCAGTGTTAGATGCTCAAAATCCAAACAGCGTGGCATAAGCTCTTGCAACCCACCTCCCGTGGCTGTGTTGCTTTATGGTGATTACAAATGTCACGAGGGCAAGAGAGGAAAAGATCACAATAAAAAGGAAGCCAAAGTGGGACCAAGGCCCTGCCCCCTTCTAAGGCACACTCTGTGACCAAAGGACTCTTACTGAGCCGCACCTCTGAAAGTTGCCACCGTCACCCAAGGACCAAGCCCCCAACACATGAAACTTTGGGGGACAAATCACATCAAAGTCATAGTAGATATTGAAGCTAGATTAGGGGCTGAGTGTGGTGGTGCACACCTATAAGCTCACCATACTGGGAGGTTGAGGCAGGAGGATCGCAAGTTTGAGACCAGCCTGGGCAATTTAGCAAGTCCCTGACAACATTAAAAAGGACTGAGGATGTATCTCAGTGCAAAGGCTCTGGGTTCAATACCACGTACTGCAAAAGAGAAAAAAAATCAGGTACTCTCTCGCCCCCGAACATGCCCTAGGCCCCTAAGCCTACAATTCATTAAATGGTTTGTTCAACAGACTGGGAGAAAAAAATAAGTTCATTGCTTCAGTAGGTATATGTTTTTTGTTGTTGTTGGTACTGGAGATTGAACTCAGGTCCTTGCGCTTGCGCAGCAGGAGGCAAAACCACTGAGCTAAATCCCCAGCCCCAGTAGGTATATGTTTTTAAAGGACCACCAAAATTCACCTGAAAAAAGTATATATATAAAGTGGCATATTATTGTATTTTTTAAATAGCAATTAATTAGAGACAGCATGGATTGCATTTATGCTGTTAGGTAAAATGACATGAGTGAAATAATTTTCCTAAGATGTTAACAAATATTAAATGGGTCTTTTTAAAAAAAGAATGGACAATATAGCAATATGAATTTCTCAGAAAGAAACTAAAGTTCTCATTACCCATGTGTTTTCTACCATGTATTTTCATTGAATAGGTGAGTTATTCTGGTTAACACTTGCAACTAAATAGAGTGCATTTTCCTACAGTTGAGCCTTGTCTCAAAGTTCGTTTGTGGAGTAGAAATCTTAGTGAACCGTGAAAAAATCACTGGAGCATAGAACCCTAGCAAAATTAAGAGACGTCTTGTTCATTGGAAGTGCGGTACTTTACCTATTTCCCTGTTTTTTTTCCCAAGCTGATATATTTTGGAGACTCCCTAAACTGTCTGATACCTCTGCTTTGGATTTTTGAGGGGTTTGTTGTTGTTGCTGCTGCTGCTGCTGCTGGTTTTTTGTTTCTGTTTTTCTTTCATTTGGATGGAGTTACTAGAGATTAAATTTAAGGCCTTTGCACTGAGCTACATCAGCAACCCCTTTTATATTTTGAGACAGGGTTTAAATAAATGTCCCAGACTGACCTTGAACTTGAGATCCTCCTGCCTCACCCTCCTGAGCCACTGGGATTACAAGAATACACCACTATGCCCCACTAGTGCCTCTGGGTTTAAGCCTAACTGATGACTAGTCTGCTGATGCTGCACACTTTTTTTGATGTAGACATTTGGTGAAGTGAAAGAACAAAATTTCAGGAGGATTTACAATTCTAGCCACCAAGGTTCTTATGCAAAATGAAAAAAGAAAAAATTTTTCCTAAACAAGATAAAAATTATATTTTGAAGTTGTACATCTCCTAGTAGACTGGTGCTTCTCTTCCCTTCCCTGCCTAAATTACCTCAGCTTCTCAGCCAGCAGACCAAGTTATTATGTATGATGTTAAATGCTTGGCTATAAAATAGGCTCCATGAAATAATGCATCTGCCATGTAGTCAACACTTTATCCATTTAACATAAAAGAGGTAAAATTTAATGTTGGTTATATCTGAAATTATATAAAACTGAAACACTACAAAAACAAGGACCTTGGCATTCTATCTGTAGAAATGTTCTCATCTAATGAAAAAAAATTGAAAATGTTAAGACAACAGAAAATTCAATTGCACAGTCCATGCTATGTGTGTAAAAAAACCTGACAGTGATATGAAGAATCTGTGGTTGTCAGATTTTTGTGATGTGTATAGTATAATTTTCCATATCATCAATTTATCCTAAATTATTTGTCTTCATGATAATAATTGAGATACATTTGTTATACTTCTGAACCCTACTAGATCCTAGAGAAGATGCAAAATTAAATATATATATATACTCCTGTATCATATTGAACTTGAGTTTATTGAATAAAGTATATTTTAGTATGAATCCTATGAAATTGATAATTGCTGTTTCATACAACCCCAAAAACTCTCACTAACCATACTCTTTTAATAAAATATTCCATACCAAATCATTTTGAATCGAGAGATTTACAGTATGATTATAAGAGCAGAGAAGGTGACGGATCTGTAACTGTTTATCTGCAGTAGAAGGAGATTTTCTGCTATAATTCAAGAATAAGACATCGTTACTAAAAAGGTGTGTTATGGAAAACAGTTCAAGAACAAATAAACATTCAATGTGTTTCCTCTAAGTCCTTAATATGGATTTGCCTTCTTAAATTTTTTTCTTTGAGAGTTTTTAAGCACTTCAGTATAAAAATCAATACAAGTACAGAATTATACACCTTCACATCCTTTTTCTTATTTGTTAAACATTTACATTCACCAGCATAGAAAAATTCTGATACAGTCATAATCTTCCTGTTTGCACAAGGTCTAAAGAAAGTGGCTATGCCTTTATGACACCTAATTTAAATTCAGTCCATTAGCCAAACAAAATTGTCTCATTCCTGTTGGTAGCAAAAATGTACACATACTCACTGTGGAGGTCTGGACTACCCTTCTGAGAGTTTGTGTTTTGGATGAATTTCATCTTTTGGGGAAATAGAACACATAGTTTTTTTTATTTTGAGATAATTATAAATTTATGTGTGACTTAAGAAATAATACAGAGATGAGGCTGGGGATTTAGCTCAGTGGTTCCACTGCCTGCCTCGGAAGCGCAAGGTCCCAAGTTTGATCCCCGGTACCAAAAATAATAATAATACAGAGATATGCTGCATACTACTTATCCAATTTCCCTCCATGGTAATGTCTTGCATACTCCTGTGCAGTATCTCTACAAGAACTGCTACAAATTCTCAGTCTTACTCTGACTTTCCAAGTCTTACAGATACTCATTTGTGTGTGTTTAGTTTTCTATACAATTTCATTACATATAGGTTTGTGTATTTTCCTCCACAGTCAAGATGTAGACTAGTACCATCATTACAAGGATCCCTTGGGTTGCTATATGGAAACGTATCTACCTCTCTACCCCAGAACATGGTTTTTAAATCAGTAACTGTTTAATTGGACAAATGAAGCTTATCTGGAGCTAACTATAATAAGTGTTTTTCCATAAGTGTGAATTTATCAGGGGTTTTTTTGGGTATCTGATTTCCCATCACTTTAGAATACTTTGTACAATGAAGACCAAGAGGTGGTTTTTGAAATAAAAGAAGGGATATTTACACATTTGAAATCCTAGCAAGGAAGCCTTGAGAAGCAAGAGATCTGGGACAATGATGGGCCCCCATATAGAAACTCTTGGACAGCTAGTTCTAAACTGTCTTTGCAGCTAAGCACTGCAGAGCATA